TTTGAAGCTTTTCACTCCAGCTTCCCATAAGCCGCCCATGTGAGGAGGGCCCGCTGGAATAAAGTTCCAAACTAGCTCGTGATGACCATATAAACTACATATAGATTCTTGTGCTGTTTTTATAAATTTTTTATAATCATTTTTGAGAGCTGCAGAAGCACCGACGAAATTGGTCCCATTATCTGAAAATATTTGTTTAGGACAACTGCGTCTGGATACAAATCTCGAAAATGCACCAAGAAAAGTTTCCGTGGAGAGGTCGCTTGTTGCCTCCAGGTGGATTGCCTTTGTGGAGAAGCACACAAAGATACACACGTAGCCTTTAGTAATTACATACCCTCTACCTCGAGAACCTTTTATGTCAAATGGTCCAGCAAAGTCCACTCCGGTATTTTGAAATGGCCTTGATAAAGATTCCTCTGGAAGTGCAGCCATAATTTGTGAGTGTTCTCTTTTCTTATGAATCACGCAGACTTTACATTTGTGAATTATGGTTTTGATGAGGGTTTTTGCTTTTGGTATCCAATACTGCTGACGGAGAAATCTTAAGACTAATTGAATTGCCCCGTGAAGAGATATATGATGTACGAAACTTATCATCAGACGGGAATAAGTGCATGCATATGGTAACAGTATTGGATGCTTCTCGTTGTACGAAAGCGCCGATGAGTTGGTTGGTATAATGCCATTACCGTCAAGAAATGGATTCAAGTTGAGAAGTTTGCTCTTCTTTGATATGGGAATTTTCAGCGACAAGTGATGATATTCCTCACTGAACCACTTCTTTTGTGACAGACAGATCAATCGTTCACGAATTTTCGAAATTTCCATACCTGAGACTGCTAAGGAGTTAAACGTATAGTTATTATGCCTCTTCCTATTTGCCATATAATAGAATCGGAACACATATGCTAACACTCGCAACGCTCGCGGAAGAGAGGAGAATCTTTCCAAGGGATCATCAAAATTGATAATTTGAGAGACATGTGGATTTATCTTTCTGGCTTCGAGTAAAACATCATCGAGTTCCCTCTCCATTGACGGCCAACGTGACGAATCTTCTCTTAAACAAGATGGCCCATGCCACCATAAGTCACTCGAGCACAACTCCTGTGGATGGACTCCCCGGCTGCCAAGATCTGCAGGATTTTCCTTGGAATCAACGTGACGCCAGTGGGCTTGACCAGTTCGCTCTTGTATCTTTACAACCCGGTTGGCTACAAATGTTGTCCAAGTGTAGGGTGGTTTTCTCAACCATGACAACACGATTGTCGAAACCGTCCAACAGAAGATAGTTTTCACACGAATGGAGATCTCACTCAACAACGACTTTAGCATTTCGGTGATGAGAAGCGCTCCGCATAATTCTAACCGGGGCAGCGAGATAGTTTTTAGTGGGGCAACTTTTGTTTTTGCCAACAATAAATGTGACGCTATAGTTCCTTGGTTTTCTGTCCGCAAATAAATCACCCCCGCGTATGCCTTTTCCGAGGCGTCGCAAAAGGCATGAATTTCTGTGGGAGATTCCTCGGTATATTCTACCCATCGCGGAATTTTAATGAAGCTTATAAACCTGTAACTTTCTACAAAATCTTTCCATTTAGCAAGTGTTTTGGAACTCAACGGTTTATCCCATGGAGTATTATCTAACCAAATCTGTTGCATTATAAGTTTAGCTATAACCACTATGGGCGCTAACCAACCGGATGGGTCAAAAAGCTTAGAAATAGTCGATAAGACCTCAAGCTTAGTATACGAATTTTTTAAGGATGGTGGTTGTACTATGAAATAAAAATGGTCTAGGCGCGCATTCCATCTAGTTCCCAGTGCTT